ATATATATATATATATATATATATATATAACTTCAAAACCAGTTGCTTTCAATTGATTGATGACAGATATAGGCATTTTAATATGTACTCTAATGTTATTACCTCTGACAAGGAGGTTATGCTTTTTGGTCCCATTAGTTTGTTTATCTGCATGCAAAAGGTTATTAACATGAAAAATTCAAAATAAGTCATAGATGTGAAAGGTATGATTAGATTTTGGTGATGATCCAATTATTAATTAAAGATTTAAATTATTAGTCAGTCATTGTCGTGAAGAAAGTCTGTGCTCTGTGAATGCTAGTTTAAAATTCGTATCTGCAAATTTGATGCCATTTGTCTTGGAAGGTTTCCTGAATTTTATCTGAACAGGTGCTCAGTGCTGCCCAGTATCAGCTGCTCCAGTGTGCCACCCCTGAGGCTGTGGTGAGGTTGGAGAATACCAAACTTAGGGCCCTGCAGGAAGGAATATGGGACCAGTATTGTAAACAGCAGAAACATGAAAGTCTGCTGGAATATTTGCACCATGAAATTATGGAGAAGAAACCACATGACAGTGTATTTGTGCAGGTAGCTTATAGGTTGTATTAGTTAGTGAGGAACATATTTTGGCATAGATGTGGTAGATCTTAATCCATGATAATGAAAGCCATTTTGTCAAATTTTGTCAAATTCTTTGATGATTAAATTAAAATTGATTTAGCATAAGTTTTTTCATTTTTTTCTTTCAAAAATATGTATATTTGCTTTTATACTATAGAATACAGAGAGAGAGACTGACACTTATGACCACTAACTGAGATCCATGGTGACATTAATAATTCTGGGTAAATAGGCCTGTTTTCAGCATAAATCATCTCATTTGAACTTAAAAAGCACTGGCTTTGAATACTAACTGTGATAACATCATGTTTACAGGTCACAACCCATTCCAAACTGCTTTCTATAGATGATGAAAAAGAAATAGCAAAAGTTCTTAAGCTACCACCAGCAAACGTCAGATCATTGGCACTTCAAAATTTTGGCACAGAACAAGAATTTGGAAGAAAGATAAGGTAAGGAATTGTTTCAAGATAGATTCCTCTGCTTTAAAGCATTGTTTGCCTGAGGTATTTATTTTAACTGATAAGTACATTTGTATTCAGCGACACACCTTATTACAAGTTTTAAGAGAGTTGAAATACCTATAAAAGAATGAAATGAAAGTAGATAAATCATGCTTTTTACCAAATTTTAAAGCTGTAGCTTTTTTTTTTATTAATAACTGACATCATTTTGAATTATGTGCACAATAGAACTTTGTTAAAATGTAGAAATTTATTAAATTATCAAACCTCTGATAATTTACATATTTTCCTTTTAAGGCGTTTTTTCAATGATGTCAAGAAAAATGATACACTTTTGTTTGTCCAATGTGATTCTGGAGACCAAAATGGCAGCCTGATAGCATGTGCTCGCTACTGTGTGATGGATGAATTTGCACAAGCCAGGGAAAACATGGGTAGTAAAATCCACGTGGTGTTTGTTGTACAATTGCCCAGAGTTTCTGGTGGATGTTTTGTAGGCTTTCAGGTAAAAAAAACACTGAAGTAGTTTTTCATCAATTGCATTATATTACTCTGTCTTTTTGTCATGTCATGTGTCTAAAATAAATTGCTATTATGAATAAGCAAAAATTATTTCAGTCATATTTTAAGAAACAGACATGTAAATGGCATAATTGTGAAAAAACCATGTTCATATTGCTGTATTTGCAGGGTGGCAAGTGGCTCTCAGTGCACATTGATGACTTGAGGCCAGAAACGAATCAATTGCCTTCCTTGGGCAACATGATGAGAAACTCCATTGGGACATTATTTAAACAGTCAGTTCACCAAGGTAGAACCCATGGACCTCAGAGTGGCATCATAACAAGGCAGGATCTGGCAGAGAGGATGGAACAGATACAGAAAAGGGAACGGGCTCCACATCCAAGTGATTCTGGTTGGTTGATTTTGATACGGATCTCACAGTATGTGTGACAGCATTAAATAGAGTCTGTGGAATCTGATTGTCCAAACTTAGAAAAATGTATATAATTTTATACATCTGCATTTTTTAAAGAAATTCAGGTACTTATTGTATAAATTTTTTAACAGTTTGGAACGTATAGTCTATATTAATTTTTTTAAACACATTTTAAAGGTATAGTCTTGGAGTCTGAAGTGAACAACACTGATGAAGACTCTCTGATGGACACATCAGAAAGTCAATTTAGCCGAGATGTTGAGATGGAAAACCGAAGGGCAAGTACACCCAAAAAAGAGAATTCAGTGCAGGTAGATCCTGGAGAGGAATTGCCCACAACTGATGTGAGGATGGAGGAAGATGTGGAAAGAATGGAAGTTGAAGATCATGAAAGTGATTTAAGGGGTCTTGACTACAGTGCACTGATAAGAAACTGTGTCCAGGGTGCTGCAGCCATGTTGAAAGAGGAACATGCGGAAAATGCGCAGCGAACCACTGAGAGAATACAAATTTTATTGAAACTTTTATCTATCAGAAAAATGAAAGGACAAGGTACATTACAACATGAAAACAGAGTAATGGTTGAACTAGAAAAAAATACAGATAATTCAGTGCAGTGCAAACTTTGGACTTATTTTGTACTCATTTGTAAATCTTTGCGATATGCAAACATTTGTGAGTTTTGGTGTTTAAGTCATTGTAAATTTAAAACTAAAATGTGGGATCTTGAAGTTCCTCAACTGTTGGTGTTACTGGTAAATTGTTGATAGAATTAGTTTGCCAAAAAAAGGGTAAGTTCTTATGTAACATATTTATACCTTTTTTTACAGACTGTAGAACATTTGCAGAGGTTGTTGGATGGAGAGTTTCGTTGCTGCTCAGTGAAAAGGAGGAGAAAGTTATGCTGCAAGGAAGAGCAGCTAACTGGCTGAGAAATGAAGCAGCTTCCATGGATATGATCCACAAAGCAGGAACTTTTAGGTGAGGATACAAAATTTGATTTCTTTCAGCAGTTTTGTAATTCATTGGTGTTATAATAAGTGAAACAAATATCACCTTGCTGAAATTATACATACATTATTACATACTTGAGTCACTGGAAAAATTGATTCACACAAGTTTGATTCTTTTTAATCATTCAGACGATCCTCATGGCAGTGTATCCAACAAAAAGTCACACCTATGCTGGCCGGAATAGTAGCCCTGATGGACACCAACTCCAACTTGAATATTCTCCACGCTCACCAAGACTTGACCCACTGGATGCATCAGTTATGGTTAGAACTGTTGGACAATGAGAATGCCACTGAACTGAAATACCAAAGAGATCTCAGGTCCCCAAAATTGAATGCTGAACTCACTGAAATGGTAGTAAGAACTATTGGGTGTGGGCAAATGTTCTGTAACCAACTGCCATTTTCTTGGGTGATTTATCAACAGGTGGAAAAGATGCTGCATCAAGTGAAGAAATTGGGTGAGATATTGCAACAATATTAATTAGGGCTTTAACTGGAATAGGCCTTTTAGAAGAACTTATATGTGGTTATTATTTTTGCAATTAAGGTAATGGAATATTTTTATTACATGTGCCATTGAATTAAAAGACTTTTGTTAGGTAATGATAAATACTCTACCTCATTTGAATTGTATTTTCAGATCAAGTTAACCAACTTCAGAAAACTCAAGAATTATTTGAGGAATGGCACACAGGGAAGATTGTTACAAATTACATGAACAAAGCTCAGAATGTGGCTGAAGATATTCTAGACTTGTACCTTACTGACTTTGTACATATGATTCACAAGGAGTCTTCAGATGGAGAATGCCAGGTACAATTATATACAACTTTGGAGTTGATAAAGAGACTATATACTCAGTGAATTATAATTGTCTTTTTGTATTAAAAAATGTTCAAGCAAAAATTACCAACATTAGATTTCACTATGTTGGTGCATCCGACAGATGGATAGAGTGGGAAAGCAGAATTCTATACATAATATGTAACAGCATAAATCCTTATCTTAGTAAGCTTAACTCTGTGAAAGATCACCTTATCTACTAACCTTATACATGTATTACTTCTAATGCTGGTATTTGTTTTCATTTTGGTGATTAGAAGGTAAAAGGTGTAGGATTTAATATAGATTTGCTGTTATTTATTTAACCTGAAATTAATCACATATCAGAGTTACTGTAGTGGATATTGATTTTTTAAGGTAATGGTACATGCCCTCAGGTCTGCAGCATTTGAAACCAGACAGAGATTCTACAATGAACAGGCTGTCAGCATGCTTCCTGAAAAAGAGGCAGAAAGGTTCCACCAAGCAATGAAGTTTGGTTTCACAATCCCCCTGGTTCATCTAGCCTATCACTCTGTGCAAAGTAGACTACAACATCTGAGGCAGTTATTCCATCTTTTGCCAGATTTGGCTGCCTCTCTGCTGAATGTTATTGGTAGAAGCCAGGAGAATGAAATGGTAAATTAAAAATTTTGTTAAGGAAAGAATTCCTCACAAAGATTATAGATTAGTCTGTTGAAGGTCACATAATTGATTATGTATGGGATAATAAAGAGAATCAACAATTATTTTGTTTGCTGATTTACTTACAGAACATTGATGTCCTAGGATTAACATACTGCCTGGAAAACCTAGAACCTCACACCGAACCTCTTGAAAATCAAAACCAGAGAAATGGCTGGCTTGACAAGGTCCAAAGGTTTAAACCAACAGTAGAGAGAATACTACAGTCAGTGTGTCAGGACTCCTATCATTATGGAGAGAAGAGCAGACATCACCTCCTACAGTGCAGGTAAGGACTTCATTTTTTAATGGAAATATGTGCTTTATGTGCAATAAAGGTATATGTTGTTCTCATTCTTTTCACAATTAACTATTAAAAGTATCAGAATAGATATAACTTCTCAAGTCAAAACTGAAAATTAAACATTTTGTTGCCCATATCTGTTATTAGTTCCTGGTAACAGTGTAAAGGTATGTACATTACAAAGTTTAAGCCCCAAAAGTTTATTTTTATTTTTATATCATAAATGGGATATCTGCCAGTCCTACTGTGTAATATTAAAGATTTATCAAAATCACACAAAATGTGCTAAACTGAGATGGAAATTATCTTGTGATCATTAATCAAAATCCATTCATTTTATGATGTAAGTTGGTCTGATGATTAGAAGTGTCAACCTGAGTATCACTTGAGACTCAGTAGTATCTCTGAAAGTTAACATCAAATATATATATTTCCTAATTTTTTTAAACTGGTTACATCTACTTCATAATATGCTTTCCATTTAAATTAGATACATGTGGAACAGGTTGCTTGCCTTGCACCTCTTTGTAGAACATGTTTGTCCCCGTGGGGTAAAACGAGAAGATCTTACTGTAAAAAGATGCATGCCTTTTTGGATTGTAAGTGCAGTATAACACATGGAGCTAAGTGCATTTATGCAATGCTTACTTTAACAGAAGACAATTAATTATAGTACTTACAGAACAGCTAGTATGGGTTTTTGAAGAATTGTGTTTGCTGATGTTATAAATGTGCACAGTGCTACATATTCATGTAACATATTCATGTAACTTATAAATCATTTTGATACTTAGTTATTCCTTGTAATCCTCATGGAACAGTCAATTGGATAGTATATTTCCAAATTTTTTATAACTTGCAACCAGGCATCAAGATTTGAGTTCTATTTTAACATTCATGAAGTGATCTGGTATGATGGATTCTAATTTAAGATGCTGTCTAGAGAGGAGAAGACTGACTTTAAAGAAGTACCTTCAATGGAAAAAGTGAAGAAGTTCCTTGAGAGCTGTAACATCAGTGCTAGTAAACATTTTTTTGGGTAAGTTTATTGAAGCCCTATTTCTCTTCTCATGTGTGTGTGCACTAAGCTACATTGTTGTTGGAAAATGTTTTGTACAGGTAGTAATTTTCCCCTTAAGCAATTTAAGTCAAAATGTTTATTATATACACCTGTACTTGATTCCATTCGTTTCCTGAAAGTGATATCTTATTCTGTATTGTGTGCCATTTGAAGTGATATCTTACTGTATTGTGTGACATTTGATCCTGTGTTTTGGTTACAATTTTTTAATGTTACTATATAATTTATGGTTCATCTTTGACATAAAAGGTCAATGCAAAAGTTGCATGAATAATTTTGTGTAATGCATATTGGATAATGAAACTTTTATATTTTTAACACAGAGAACTTGAAAAGTGCAAGTATTGTGAAGAGCCAATGCAAAACCCTGTGAAGTTGCCATGTGGTCACATCTTTTGTCATGCCTGTCTGCAAGAACGTAGATATGCTGATATCAATGAATGCCCAGAAGGAGTGTGCAGAAAAAAGTTTGGTGCAGATATGGAACTGAAGACCTTATCAGACTTTAGGTACATTTTGTATTCTCATTTCTACAAAGTTTTGTTTGGTTAACTAATTATCATGAAGATTGCAGTTGAAACATCCTTATAAATGAAACTTAAGTGACATGGCAAGTGAAAAAATTATTCATGTATTTTTGTGATTTGAAAAGACAAGTTTGCAGGGTTTCATTAATTGATATACACCAATGGTAGCTTATTCACATGAATATAAAAATATCTGCGTTTTTAAAAAATTACATCCATGATAATGTTAAATGTTTATTTTAGGGACAAGATAACGGCTCACAATGAGTACAAACAAAGGTGCAATGCATTTTTCATGGCCCTGGTGTCCCAGCTGTGTTTTAATGAAAACATTCCTCCAGAACCTGGTGTGGTTAGGATGCTTCTCAGTTGTGTCACCAAGGAGTCCCAGCTTAAAACTGGCACTAAAGATTTCAATTTGTTTGATGTCTGCATTGACCCTTCTCCTGTGATTAGGAGTTTCTTGCTCCAGCTGCTTCTGCGTTCAGGGTAAGGCCGATTTCTTTATTGTTTTTGATGTTTTTAGGTGTTGTCCCCAGTTCATTTTATTGCTATTATAGCTGTTAGCATTTTTTATATTTACTGCAAGAAGGCTTGTGATAGGCATTAGTATTTGTTAGAGCAAATAACTAGAAAAATCCTTTCATTTATGAAGTTAAAATTGTGGTACATTATTGATAAAATTGGAAAAAGTACCTCTGTTGATAGAGGTCTTAATGCACAGATTGTTTTTTATTTTTAGTATGGATCAAGTTAAACAATATCTTCAGGAATATTTTGACCAAGCAAGAAAATTCACCCAAGATGGATCCCAAACTTTAGAGCTGTGTATGCTTTGTATTCAGTGTATGGAGGTATATATATCTTATAACACGGAAATTTTTTCTTTCATCTTTAACTGGTCATAAGCTTCTAGATATGTAAACAGGAAAGTATCTAATTTAAAACTTGTCTTGAGTATTATATAGAATCATTTATCTTAAAGATATATTGCCTGATTTCTGGAAGAGTTGTAGCTATTATATGTGGCATGGTTTTCTCATATGTGTGATTTTAGGTAATTAAGATGGTTTCTCTTATCAAACTATGCAACGAAGGTTTCTCTGTTTTGAAGGCAAGATGGGATATATATATATATATATATATATATATATATATATATATATATATATATATATATAACACAGTATATACGATTTATCCCATTTCTTTTCCTTGACCAAATTTTTCCCTAATTAGATTATTGTTCCCTTAAAGCCACTTCCTGAGCAATATAAATGATGTATTAAAAATACTTTAACATTTGTTGGTCATGAACTATTTAGGATTCCTTCCATAACAACATTTCCCAACATGGAAGCAGTCTGACAGCCAGAGCAAACATGGTTACAGCTTATTTGAAGAGAGCCCCCCTCATGATAGGAGGAAGCATTAAAGAGATTGACTGTATTGAGGCCATTGCTTTGAGTAGATTTGGTCTTGCTGTAACGGCAGGTATAATGTTCTCAACATTTGTTGAGAGTGGAAGGAAAATACCTGAATCCAGAGAATTGAGGGAACTGTTTGATGCAGCAGGGAACCTGTGTGATCAGGTCAGATGGGCAAAGTAAGTGTTTACATACTGGAGGCAGTTTGGACATATTGGCTTTCAGTAAGACAGGCATTAATTCATTGTTAGGCACTTAATATAACAGAATGTGGTTCATGCACATTTCAGAGTTTGAGTAAAGTCTTTCGCTTTGCAGTAAAAGTCTTTCAGTCTCAATTCCACAATTAAACTACATTCTGTGTAGTTAAGATATTAACTTGAGCTTGATTGCAATTTCCTTCAGAATATTTTTGGTAAAACAGATTTGCAGAGTACACGGCATTGAGGCCCTACAGACAATAACTGAAGTCCCCTACCTGGCAAGATGGATACTGCCCCCAGAAGCAAGGCAGAAGGTTATATTTTCAATAAGAGGGTTTCAATATTGAAATATTAATTGTGATAAATAATAGGTTTTTATGATGGTATTTCCCTTCTGCTTAAGTGGAGTGACGGTAAAAAGTTGATTCAAGGGAAACGAGGTATTACAATGATTAAATGGTAATATTATAGTTTTTAAATTACCATTCTACAAAACTGTCTCATCAAATTGCTGTGTCCAGCTTAGAGGTGAAAATATCAAGAACATAAACAGAAATACCAATTAAACATGCACAAGGAAATGTCAGTACTTAGTGTTGGTAAAATGAAAATACATAATGTGTTTGAAATGTCAGTGTTTTCTGAAATTTTGAGTCAGTAAAAGTTCATTGTATTAACTGTCAAACTTGGCATTTTTAAAATAGTCAAAATATTGTTTAAAAAGGTTAGATTTTATATTTGTGTTGAAAGTGTCAACATCCATTAAATCAGGTGATTGCATATACATTGTATGTATGATTCATAAAAAAAATATGTTGGACATGTTTCAATAGAGTTGGCTATTGAATGTTTTGTTTCCAGAATGAAATGTATTAATTTTTGTTCCTACCATGTTCTAACAGTGAGTTAAAACTGTAAGTTTAAAACAAATAAAAAATAATAAATGGGTAAAGTTGGTAACCCTATTCAATGATTTGTAGGTCCATGATGACAAAGACATGTATCTGATATGTGGTCCGCTGTATGAGCATCTGAGAGAGACTGTGACAAAAGTGGTCCTTGGGGAAAGTGTGGGTCTTATACAGGAAGTTCTGAATGTAAGTTTCTGTAAAGATATAAAAATTTCTGTTCGTTCAATTTTTCTTTTTTATACAGACACTGTAAGTGTTTGTATATACATGTATTCTGATTGGTTTGTCTGTCTGTGTCGTCACTGTCGCTGTCCGACTCATGATGTACATCCCATAACTTTCAAACCAAATTTTTGTTTTACTTAAAATTTACTAACTGGTTTTGTTTGGTAAAGAGTCAGGTTGTTTGCAAAAGTCAGCATTATCAGTTTGCATTAACAGTAATTAATCTTTTTTTTATATATGTTAAATTTTCATTTTTCACACATTAGCGTTTTCAGTGGCTTTTGTATCATGTGGAATTGAATCACTTGCTAGTTTTTCAATGTCCATTTTACCTGTCGTACATAATGTAAGAGGGTAAGAGTGATTTTGCTATTTTAAAGCATTATGTAACAGTGCATCTGATTTGGTCAAAACATTTTGTGTACTTTTTCTTTGTAATGTCTGAACATTTGGCAGCTTTGCTGCCTTGTTTCCTGTATGGTGTCTGTATATTTGCCAGCTTTGCTTCCTAGTTTATTAATGTTTCTGTATACTGATGTTTTCTTAACATTAATATGCTATTTGAGAAGAAAAATTGTTGTAAATTATGTTTGGAGGAATGGTGATGCACACTTAAAAGATTTAGTCAATCTTATTTAATTTCATGTGTGCAGGATGTTTGATACACAAAATAAATCCACATTATCTGCAAAATTCGTTTTGTCCCTGATGCAAATATATATGTACCTCTGTCTAGGGAAGCAATGATGGGGTACCTTTGAAAGAGACAAGCATGTTACTTGCCTTGTACAGAGAGGTGACCACAAGTTACATACATGGAGATCCAAACAGGCTGCCAAGTCAAGAGGTGAGTGATTTTTACTGGGATATTGAAATATTCCCAGGCTTTAAAAGGGTTAAAATGACTTGCATGGTTCAAAATTTTTCCGTGGGTTCAGTTCAGGTGTAAAAGGTGATACTTCAGACTTTATATTCTACATTCTGTACAGTTGATCAGTTGCTATACTTTATAGTAGTGATGCTTTTTATGTACAGACACAGATGTGTCTGTATGTATAGCAATCACCTGCGTCTGTCATCGCTGTCGCCGCCGTCGCTGTGCGCTTTTACCGAAGTGGAAAACCGTTTCTTCTTTTGGTTTGAAACTTACAGAACTGATGAATATCCATAATAGGCAGGTCAAGTTCAAAAATCAGCATGATCGGGCCATTTTAAGGGAAGTTATGCTGTTTTTTCACTTTTTTCAGCATATAGGCAGCACTGATAACACGATAGGTGGAAAACCATATTATTTTTTGGCTTGAAACTTACAAAACTGATGAATATTCATAATAGGCAGGTCAAGTTCAAAAATCAGCATGATCGGGCCATTTATATGGAAGTTATGCAGTTTTTTCACTTTTTTCAGCATTTATACAATACCGATAACACGATAAGTAGAAAACCGTTTTACCTTTTGGCTTGAAACTTACAGAACTGATAAATATTCATAATACGCAGGACAAGTTCGAAAATCAGCATGATCGGGCCATTTATATTGAAGTTATGCAGTTTTTTCACTTTTTTCAACATTTATGCAATACCTATAACACATTTTAAGCAAAAATGATTGGCCAATTGTCTTGAAATACACAGTAGTGATCAGTGTTACTAAAATACAGATTAAGTTTTGAAAATAGGCTTGATCAGTAAAGGTTTGGTGAAGTAATGCCTTTTTTTTGCATATAAGTGTTTTTTCCTCAAATTTAATTCTCAGACATGTTAACAGTCTCATTTTTGAACTAATTAGATATGTTAAGTTGTTCTTTTGACATTTTCTGCATCTTAACAACATAGTTAGTTGATTATATAAAAATGATGGTAAACCTGTTATTGTGCATTGTGTAATAAAGTGTCAAAAATGGAAAAGATCATATCTTTACAGTTTGTCAGATTCAACCATTCACTATGTTCAGAATCTCAGAATGGAGCAAGTTGGACATTTATAATTGTTCTGTTGATATCTTTGCTTTGACAACATATTTTTTATTGATCATATAAAAATGACAGTAAATTGATTATTTTGCTTTATGTAAAAAAGGTGTTGAAAATGGAAATAAACTCTTTCAATACAGTTTTCTCTTGTTTACATTTTGGGATTTTCAAAGTATGACTCTGAGCTCTATGGGCTAGTCACATTTTCTGAATATCCATGATACTTTTATTATTAAAAAATTTATGGTTATTATGCTGTTAAGCATTGTGTAATATTGCATCAAAATTGAACAAAACCCTATTCTGGGCACTGCCTCCATAGTGGTGGTGAAAGGAAAACCATGTCACTTGCTCTTCTCACACTTACAGGAAAGAAACATAGGACTGAAATACAGCTTCAGTTGAAAAATTGTCTCATTAATAGTTAATTGTTTGGAAGTAATACAGGTTTTTTGTGAAAATTTTTATCTTTCACATGTTGCAATTTTCAATGTGGGACTTAGAGCTCCCTTGGGCATGAAGCCCAGTGGTAATCAAATTTTCTTAATGTCCATGTTTTTAATAGTAGATATTTTAAAATTGGTGGTATTTAATTAGTTAATCATTATGTAATGTTGCATCAAAATTGACAAAAAAACCTACTTTGTGCTCTGCCACCATTAATATTATGTAAAGTGTTACTTTCTATTTTTTTTAACTATTCTTACAAGAATGATTCTTAGGATTGACATACAGCTCATATTAGAAAACCAGCTCTATTGCATTATCATTTTTATTAAATTTATGCATTTTTTGTGAAATTTTCATTTTTCTCATTTTTGCACGTTCTAATTGTAAACTTGAACTTGATGGGCCTGGGGCCGGTTTCACAAAGCAGTAGTTAGTTAGTTAGCAATCGGTAGTTAGCCCCTCGCTAGTTATGAGTGCCGTTTCACGAAGCAATCGCTAGTTCCCTTGCTCGTTATTGTCTCGTTGTTGCCGTGGATATTTAACGACTGGTCAGACCAGTCGCTAACTCTAGAGTTTCATCGAACGCATGCGTAATGAGTGAAATAAAAAGGTTGCTTAGTTACCGTTGTCTGTCGTTTGTCTTTGTATCCAATATGGCGGCTACCTTTCTTGCTATCCGTACCGCCAGACGGCAACGTAGACTACGACGTTTTCATGAAAGGCAGAATCTATTATAATATACATACGATGATGCAATTTACGAGAGGTTGCGCCTAGCTGTGACAAAAAGAGCGGCAAAAAGGTGGTGGAGATCCTTTACGACGACCTCAAAGCAGACGTTCTTCTGCATTTCCAGCCACCAAAAATTGGAGAGTTAGTGCTTTCGTAACACTTTTACGCAAGAGTTCCACTTCCGGCAGATGGTTTCGAGACTACGGTGAGTAACGAGAGAACTAGCTACCGAACTTTACAACTGAACTTAGCGATAAGTTAACTACTGCTTCGTGAAACACCCCTCGAAAATCGCTAAGTTTGCTCGTTAGCGAGGTAGTTCAGTAGTTAGTTGTTCTAACTAACTACTGCTTTGTGAAACCGGCCCCTGAAGCTTTATGCTTTTACTTTCAACAGTGTTACTTGTTGTGCATAATTAAAATTTGATGTTGACTGTGCAGTTAAACATAATGTATTTTTGCATCAGAATTGGCAGTCTCCTGTTTTTGTGCATTATTGTTTTCTGCTTTTCTTAAGGTGTGACTTATGGGCCTAAAGACCTTTGATAGACAAATTTGTGTGGTCAGTCTGTAAATTCCCCTTGGGTATTCACTAGGCAAATTTCAGTGCTATAAACTCATTTGCCTAATTAAGTGGCCATTAAATGAAATTTCATAAAGCACACTTGTTGATATTTCCCTGTAAACTCCCAAAGGTTAAGCTCTCTGCTAGATAACATAGTGTCCATAATAAGGAAGTAGTGAATAGCAGCTTCATTGGAATTATATTTTTGTTTTCTTTTTAATTTTTTCTCCAACACTGGCATTTTTAAGATGTGATTTTTAACTCCCATCCACCTGAGGCTCTGGACGTTTTCAGTATTTCCACATAAGCAGTTGTATTGGTTTTTATGTCTTTAAACATGCTGTAATATTATTTTATGCACTGTCATCATTTTTCATATATTGGGACTTTCATCATGTGAATTTGAACTCTCATGGTCCTGAAACTGTAATCTTATTGAAGGGGTGGATTGAGACCATCTTCTGGGTCTTCCGGAAGACAGTCAGGTTTTCAAGTTTATATTTACGGGTTTCTGTTGAAAGACAATCAAAATGGAGGATGGATCAACATAGATACTTTGGAATACTGTCAGAAAATATCTCTGGGTCCGCTCCTGTTATTGACCATGTTACCTGTTGTGCATGATTAAAATTCAGTGTTGATTGACTGTGCTATTATAAGCATCATTTATAATTGCATCAAAATTGACAAAATGACCTATTTTGCATCTTTATTTTCTGTTTTTTTTTTTTTTTTGTACATTTGACAGCTTTGCTGCCTTGTTAATCTTTCCATATTGTGTAATTTTGAATATTTTATAACAGTAATGCATGTCCACCTCGAAGTCAGGTAATGAGATTGAGCAAACCAGGAAGTGACTGTTCTAAAAAACTTAAAGCAGATTTGAGAGTTATAGTATAAATGATTAAAATGTATGCAACTGTGGTTCCTGTCTGAATTCTTTGTGTAATTCTTCTTTCAAGGTGCTACAAAATCTGGAGCAGTACTACCACCAGCTGTCTATATTCCAAATGAAGGTAAGTTTTTTTGTCAGCAGTATGTCATTTGATACCATTTGAAGGAATATTGTTTAAAATGGAGACAGCTTAAATTTGTGCTTATAGAAATTCAATGAAAGGTGATGTTTCTACTTTAGCTGGAAGGTTCCTGAAAATGAGTTTTGATCCTTATCTTTGTTAAAATTTATGCACTATATTTCAGACTTTCTGTCAGAAGATCCTTTCCAACCAAATTGGTCAAGGCTGTCCAGAGCTGACAATCACCTCTGGTCAAGACAGGCTTCACCAGCAGATGTCAGCACTGGTCATCCATGCCATGGTGATATACTCAGTGAAATGTACCACAAACAGGCAAAGAGGAATACTTGAACCATTCCTGAAAATGTTCCAAAAGCCACAGGATATGAAAGTTAGTATGTGTGGTGCACGCTAATTGCAGTGTTCTTTGATTCAAAATTTGTTATATGTAATTTTTGTATTACAGTATGGTACTAATTGCAGTTACCATGTAACAAGAGTAAGAGAAAATTTGAATGTTTTATTTTTAAAACATCTTATTATTATAATAATTAGAAGTATGCCAAGAAAAATGAAATACATACTTACAGAAATATTGATATCTATGATGATTAAAGGTATATATGTACAATTACAATAAATAGCAAACAAAGCAAACCTATCCAGCATAGTTATTTATATTCTTATATAGATGAATGATTCTTATTTATGTCACAATGTTATTTTGTCCTACAGAATCAATTATAAATTGACCAAGCCTATAGGATTTTCAAGTCTCAAAGAGTTATTGTTAAACATGTATTGAAAATGAAGGAAAACATTTGGAATTAATTCTAAAAATGTGTTAAGTCAATAAAGTGTGTACAGTGGGCAATATCACATAGAACAGGTTTTGAATGTACCAAAGTCTGTGGTTCCTGCCAGGGTTATGCCACTAGAGGGTTTAAGCACAGGTACACAAGTGTTTCTTTCACTTATTTATATCAAGGTTGTTATTGCTGCTAATTTTTTCTCAACCTAGACTTCCTATTTCCCTACAATGCCACAAGATGAACTGAGTGAAATAAGAGAAGCAGTCCATAGTGGGAGGACAGGGGGACAGGCAGATACACTGTGGGGTTAGCTTTCATGATTTTTTTAAAATTTATTAGGGCAGTGAATGTATTAAAAGAATAAAAAAATTAAAGGTGTAAGAGTGTGCAAATTAAAGTGAGTATTTGTAGGAACTGTCAGATCTAATTGAAGCTCATCTATCTTATTTATTGTTATTGCAGTTTGTCCTAATGGACACCCATATGTCATTGGAGATGTAAGTATAGGTGATTTCTTTGCCTTTTTAAAATGAATTTTTTTCATCTGTTGTTTATATGTACATGCAGCTTTTGTATGAAAATAATTTGATATTTCTTGTTTAAGCTCATGCTTAGTATAATATTGTGATCATGATATTTATTTAACAGAAATAATAAGCATTTGTCAAATTTTACTCATTTTTCTTAGTGTGGGAACCCTTCAGTGGAGGCTCAGTGTAAAACTTGTGGAGTAATTATAGGGGGAAGAGGTCACAATCCAGCCCAAGGAAATGTCAGAGCAAGAGGGTAAGTCACGTCATATGTATTTGGTAAGGATGTTAGTATTAGGAGATAAATTGTCAATGAGTAAAAAGAAAAAAGTAATGAATGTGGTGACATAAGATAGGCGCCCACAGTAAACATGTTTGTCAGACTATTTTATGTACAGACAGATGTGCCTGTACATAAAAGCTGTAACTTGCATCTGTTGGCATTGTCTCAGTGTGCACTTTCAAAGATAACACAATAAATTGAAAACTTTTTGTCTTAAAACTTATGGAAATGATGAGGATTCATTAAATCAGCTTAATAGACAATTTAGTTCTACAAAAATCTTAAAGTTATGCTGTTTTTTCTGCATATGAAATGCTATATGCAATACAGATAACACTTTTCAAGAAAAAAATGAAAGGTACATTGTCTTCAAACTTTCAGGAGTGATCAATATGACTTTAAGTATATTCAAAATAAAAATCGGTTTAAACAGACTATTTTTCTTGAAGATATTTTTTAAAACATATATTATACTTAATGCAATACACATACCACATTCCATAAAAACCATCTGACCCATTGTCTTCAAATTTGCAAGGCTGATGAATATTTTGATACAGCTCGAGTTTGAAAACCAGATTTTTTTCTTTGAAGTTATACATTTTCATTGCCATCAAAGGAAAACTATGCTACTTATTATTTTGTAAGAATTATTCTTAGGATTGATATAATTTATGCTTTTTTTTTTCATTTTCATTTTACTCGTTCTAGCTTTTCCAATCTATGAATTTGAACTCTCATTAGCCTGAAGCTTCATGTTAGATACAAATTCCTAATATCCATGTAACCATTGTGCACAATTAAAATTTGGTGCCCATCTTTCTATAAAGCATAATGTATTATTGCATAAAAATTGACAAAATAACCTATTTTGTGCATCATTGTTTTCTGCAATTTGTCTGTAAATTTGACAGCTTTGCTTCCTTATTTTCATGTTAATTTTTGTTGAGTTCTCTGTGGATTATCAAGGGCATTTTCTTTTACTATAAGTTTTTTGGGGATAGCTGATTCCTTTGTTGGAATTGGAACAAAAAATAAATTATTAACACCAAAATTCACTTGATTATATTTTGCTATGCAAAATTGATTTTTTTGTTCAGGTCACAGCCTTTCTGTAGCAACATCTAATGTTTTAATTACAGGCATATAGTGTCTGATCATAAAATTGACCATGCACTAAAATTGCATCAAATTTGACAAAATAACCTATTTTGATCATCATTATTTGCTTTTATGTCTGTTCATTTTACAGCTTTGCTGCTTGTTATGAACAGACTCAGTGAATTTCTGTGTAGATTCTGTTCATTTTGTCTGTCTGTTATGGCTGGTGCTGCCACCATGCAATACATCTGGTATATGTGTATGTGCTTGTATATGTTATAATAAAACAATGGGAGTGACTTTTTATGTACAGACACAGATATGTCTGTACATATAGCCATCACCTGCGTCTGTCGTCGCCGTTGCCGTGCACTTTTACAGATAACACAATAAGTGGAAAACTGTTTTTTCTTTTGGTTTGAAACTTACAGAATTGATGAATATTCATAATACGCAGGTCAAGTTCAAAAATCAGCATGATCGGGTTATTTTTAGGAAAGTTATGCTGTTTTTTTTTTCACTTTTTTCAGCATATTTGCAGTGCCGATAACACAATAAGCGGAAAACCATTTTACCTTTTGGCTTGAAACTTACAGAACTGATGAATATTCGATTATTTTGTTTTATGTAAAAAAGGTGTTGAAAATGGAAATAAACTCTATTCAATACAGTTTTCTCTTGTTTAGATTTTGGGATTTTCAAAGTGTGACTCTGAACTCTATGGGCTAGTCACATTTTCTGAATATTCATGATAGTTTTGTTTTATCATTAAAAAACTGATGGTTATTATGCTGTTTTGTGTAATATTGCATCAAAATTGAACAAAACTATTTTGGGCACTGCCTCTGTATTGACCGTGAAAGGAAAACCATGTCACTTGCTCTTTTCACACTTAAAGGAAAGAAACATAGGACTGAAATACAGCTTCAGTTGGAAAATCTGTCTCATTAGTTAATTTTCTGGAAGTTAAAAGTTTTTTTGTGAAAATTTTTATCTTTCACATACTGGAATTTTCTATGTGGGACCTAGAGCTCCCTTGGGCATGAAGCCCAGTGGTAATCAAATGTTCTTAATGTCCATGTTTTTAATAGCAGTTTTTTAAAAATTGGTGGTATTTATACAGTTAATCATTACGTAATGTTGCATCAAAATTGACAAAAAACCTACTTTGTGCACTGCCACCATTAACGTTATGGAAAGAACTGTTACTTTCTATTTTTTCAACTAGTCTTACAAGAATGATTCTTAGGATTGACATACAGCTCATATTAGAAAACCAGCTCTATTGGATTATCATTTTTATTAAATTTTTGCATTTTTTGTGAAATTTTCATTTTTCTCATTCTGGCACTTTCTTACTATAAACTTGAACTCTGATGGGCCTGAAGCCTTATGCTTTTACTTTCATCGGTGTTACCTGTTGTGCATAATTAAAATTTGATGTTGACTGTGCAGTTACATAATGTATGATTGCATCAGAATTGGTAGTCTCCTATTTTGTGCATTATTGTTTTGCGCTTTTCTTAAGATGTGACTTATGGGCCTGAAGACCTTTGAGAGGGTCAGTCTGTAAATTTCCCTTGGTTATCACTAGGCTAAGTTCAGAGTTATAAAGTCATTTGCCTAATTAATAGGAAATTAAATGAGATTACATAAAGCACACTTGTTGCTATTCCCTGTAAACTCCAAAAGGTAAAGCACTCTAGGAAGCAGTGATAATTATGCAGGTAATTTTGTTTAATATTGCAAATTAGTTTATATATATATCAAACTAAATGATTAATATATATCAAACTGAAAGATTAAAAGTTTGAATAGCAGCTTTATTGGAATTATATTTACATCTGCCAAGGAGGTTATGGTCTCCCGTTTGTCTGTCATCAACATAACTCAAAAAGTTATGGACCGATTTTGATGAAATTTTCAGGAAATGTCAGAAGTGGGCCAAGGAACAGATGATTAGTTTTTCATGGTGATCCAGATCAAAAATCAATAATAATCAAAAATTGCTGCCTTGGCAGAGGTCTGCGCTCTCTGGGTGCTTTTCTAGTTTTGTTATGTTTTCCTTTTTAATTTTTTCTCAAACACTGGTATTTGTGACTCTTAACTCCCATCTGTCTGAGGCTCTGCACATTTTAGATATTTCCACATCAGCAGTTGTTTTGGTTTTTATGTCTTTAAACATTATGTAATATTATTTTATGCACTGTCATCATTTTTCAAATATTGGGACTTTCATCATGTGAATTTGAACTCTCATGGTCCTGAAACTGTAATCATATTGAAGGGGTGGATTGAGACCATCTTCTGGGTCTTCCAGAAGATGGTCAGGTTTTTAAGATTATATTGACCGGTATCTATTTTTTTCTCTTGGAAGACTATCAAAATGGAGGATGGATCAACATAGATACTTTGGAATACTGTCAGAAAATATCTCTGGGTCCGCTCCTGTTATTGACCATGTTACCTGTTGTGCATGATTAAAATTCAGTGTTGAATGACAGTTCTATTATAATCATTATTTATTATTGCATCAAAATTGACAAAATGATCTATTTTGCATCTTTATGTTCTGTTTTTGTCTGTACATTTGACAGATTTGCTGCCTTGTTCTGTTAAATATTTTTAAACTTAACAGCTTTGCCATCAAGTCATACTTCTTAAAAATCAGCAGTCATTGTTCATGAAATGGATGTATCATTTTTTTTCTAATGTTCTGTCATGTACTTGTAATAGTTCTAAGCACCTACAGTAATAAAAAGAAACATTGGATATATTTTTCATTTGAGTGATATTCTGTTTTGCACACAATTAATCCTTTTTTTCCAGAGATGACCAGACACAACCTGGACACATTCTTGGCTATGCCAGCACCAGAAATACAACTTCAGAACCAATGAGAGGAATCAGTGCAGTGCAAGCTGCTATCTTGAGGATGACAACACATATCACCATGTTTGTTGCTGCAAATAGGGAACCACATGTAAGTGTTTTGTTTTATTTTGTTCCATTAATGTCTTGAATAAAATTTATAGTATGTGTTATGAAGTTATGGCCACATGCATTTATAAAATCAATGAATTATTTGTCTGTACAGTGGTCGGAATAATTTTGTTTCCGTTGTACACCGGTGTAACAACGTTCGAAATGTTTTAATCCCTATCTTGTGAATAGAAGGGGGCGGACAAACAATGGAGGGCCGTATAAATCCCTTCAAAATTTGAACGCACAAACACAATAGCTTAGGTGGAATAACACAATACTTAATACGAGTGAACCCCATGTCGCCGGTTTCTGTGGTCCAGCGCGAGCGCGACAATCCGCTGTAACTAGGTGTAATTAACAGCAGGATACATCAGCCAGAAGGTCCCTATTGTTTGTTGCGGCGATAGGATTATAGCTTGAAGAGG